AAAACGTTGAAACCTTGAATCATGTCAATATTGTTCACTTGACTTTTATGTAAAAAGGCGACTCTAGCTCCACAATTTGGAGGTATATGCACGAAAAGGAAGTGGGACGAAGAAAATGAAGAAGAATGTTTGAAGGAAGTTTAATGTCATTTTTGCAACATTTTTTATTAACTTCTGTTTGAAAGAAAAGCTTTTGATTGCTTTTTGAATTAAGAACATTTACTTATTTCCTCTTCAGCTACCATAGCATATCAAAAATCACCATCACTTTTTGCAAAGGTCCTTAGTTAAAATCACTATCACTTTTGTTCTCTTGTCTCTGGAGTATCGAACATGTGGTCACATCTACATCAATCTACGTAAACCCATGATCCAACTTGCAATTTTTGAAAATAAGTGCTTGCTGGCTATTCATTTTCAGCCAAAGAAACTCGCTTATCTAAAAGTGTTTCTCTTCTAGATGATGACTTTAGATCAAACGCGCGTAGAATTTAGAGCGATCAGAAGCAACTAAACTTAAGTAGTCTGCGCGAAAAAAACACTTACAGTGCATCTAATTAGAAGTCGAACATTCTTTGGTAAATCTGAATCCCGCTCCAGGCACCTCCCCGCTCCCTCCCTCCCCTCACCTTCAAATTAAAGTGATTTTTTAAAATTAGTTCCTAAAATCCCTAGTATCGTTTAATTACTTTAGATATGAGCTAGAAACCCACAGGCGAAATGGCAGAACTTAGCACTGAAATTTGTCATTTCATCAAGCGCGTTATTTCAATTGTGGTACTAATTTAATACTTCAAATGGAAGAAACATAGGGCCAGCGTATAGTAACTAGAAAGGATATTTAGGATTTGACCCTAATATGCCTACATATATGATCTTCTAAAGTGTTCTATTTCAGAAAAGGCCAAAAGGTAGATACTGTTACCTTCGCTTCGTACTGCTTCCTATAAGTAGCGAATCAGCTCCATCATCAACGATCTTGTTTTAATATAAAACTATCGGTTACCCACCTAATCTTTGGCTTGAAACTTCAATGATAGTGATAGTAGAACTACGACGATAGGAGATATTAGTGGTTCGTAAAACTTTCAAATTTTTCTCGAGAACTT